ATACAGAAATCATCAACAAGCCTGAAGTTTTAAGCCTTAAAGAAGTCAAATGACTCAATTCAGCTGAAAAGGGACAGATTGTTCTTTCTCTCTCCTGGAGCAGGAAGATCTGACCAAGCTTCTTGGGAGGAATATGAGCTTTAATACGACCCTTAGCCCTCCCTTAATGTGATGATGGGCAATCATGTTTTGGCAGACAGAAAGAAAGACAACAAATGATCCATAAAAGCACACAATGGATTCCAGCTGCAAAAACAGGAAGCCCCCCTGGACTAGTTTAGGTCACAGGTTTCCAACAGAAAGGTCAAACACCGTATTCCTGAGAAACAAATTGTCCCCCAACAGTGATGCGCTCTCATTAATGTGACCTGAGGCAGCGCTGGTGGCTCCACGTGATTGGATTGGACTAATGGCTGTATCCATGTCACCAAATCCATTGTGTGGACTATTATTTGTTATAAGATGAGTTCATCTTTAACAAAAAACAAGCTTCGGTTTTTTACTTTTAATAGCACATTGACTAAAAATGCTGAAAGTAATTATTGCAGTTTTCTCCCAATTCAGTAATTTATCAAGTATGGCTTCATAAATAAATTTATTCATTTGATTTAATGACAGCAAACTGTTGTTTTTATACATGTCTCATTACTGATCTTTCAATTTAATACAATAATGAACCATTATCAAAATTGTACAATGTAAAAACTGTTTCTTTTTAAATGCAGACGGTAGTGAAAAGGCTCCGTACACTACCTGCTCTTCACCAAACAGCAGACAGACTAAGTTAATGACCATCTGGTGGACATAGTGAATCATTTAGCAGCTTAGGAGCCTGATTTCTCCCTGAGGAGTTATTGGAGACCCAAAAAAATCAACCCGAGAATATAGAATATATTTCCTAACAAGTTTGCCATACGAACCGTCAAAGATGTCAGAGTTGTCTTCACAGTTTGTTTTTGTTGCCCCCAATCGGCCAAACAAAATGAATCAAGGAAGGTTTAATTCATTCAGATGTGTTATAGTCCTTTTGTTGACATACAACCTAATAGATTTTTGTTGTGCATATTAACGGCTTACTAAAGATCTATAAAGAATTAAAAGCATTACGACGCCCCAAAACTTTGTTTCTCAAATTGCGATAAAATTAAAGCTAAATTTTCAACCACATTGCTGCAACATCAGTAAACTGCACACAGCACGCTTGTGTTGATGAACCAAGCGCGTCTATAATGATATATACTGAAGGAAAAAAAACAAAAGGAGATTAAATAAGAGAAAACTAAATATCTGTTACAGTGCATTGGAAATAAGATGATGTTCATACTGTTGGAGATGTGGTTTTGTCTTCACTTTGATCCTGAGGACATACAGAGGGCGATACTACATACTACCATGTTTTTATTCATGGAGGGGTTGACAATTGACTGGTATTGACATTTAAATAGTTGGTTAAAATTTCAAAGCTGAGCTCAAACCGCCCACCGAACCCTCTCCACCGTCTTCGTCCTCCTCATGCTGCTGCAGGGCGGAGCGGTGACGGCAAACCCAATCACAGGCTTCCACAGCAGCGACCTTCCACGCCTCGCTCTCGTTCCTCCCATAAAAGGAGGAGTGAATGATGGGAAAGGCGACAAGGAAGCGAGGGAGGGAGGGAGGGACAGATACATCCACCACGCATAACAACAGAGTGCGTCTCCTCACACACATCGCTCCATCCATCTCCCCCTGACGGTCTCATGTGAGGCCAACAAAGACACACACACACACACACACACACACATCTTTGCAGAGACACAGAAGGTTGGCTGCAAGCTGCTACAAAAGCTGACTATCAAAGCCAGAAAAAAAAAGAAGAAAAAAGAATAGATACCCTGAAGGTCACACTGGCAGTGCCGACTCCAGTTAACAAAGGCTCTTCCTCTCTCAGGGACATTCCCCAAAAAAGCTTGTTGTGCTGACATGCATGCCCACTCATAGTGCGCCATGTGTCTGCCATGTTCACACACTCTAATGGTCTGACACAAATCCCACCTTGACCTTTAAAAAATAAATTCTCAGACGCCTTCATATTGTCTGGAAGCTACTAGACAAGCTGCTTTATATACAGTATAGATCTCGCTCACTCTCTCTCTCTCTCTATATATATATGTACCAAACCCCCCCATGAAGTGTGTGTGTGTATATATATATATATATATATATATATACACACACACACACACTTCATGACTTCATGGGGGGGGGTTTGGTCCATTACAGCTTTCTAACAGACCGCTGTTATAAGCGACAGAGCGTTGCTATTGACGCAGTTAAAGTCGTACACAGCAAGACAAGATGTGTGTAGATATCTATACATGTATGGATATTATATATTCATACATGCATGTACACATTTATAAATATAAATGATACAGTTGAACACTAGGAGTTTGTGGTCTGAGTAAAAACTACAGCCCAGCGCGTGATGAGCCAGGTTTCCCCAAAGACTGTTTGATGAGGAGCAAACTGCCGAGCTCTGCGCTGAGCTTCCTTTAAAGCCTCCTGCACATCGACACCGGTCAACAAATCAAGTCCCTGATAAAATATCGTCCGGGAAAAGGATCCGCCTCACTCTGATGAACTGCCACTCAAGCAATGCCACAGAGACAAAAGTCAAACGGGCCGGTGACAGTGAGTGAGTGGCGAGCCGGCTCACGGCTGCACGTGAGCCCTCGTGATCACACGAGGTGAGCTGCATGTGCACCGGGGATCAAACATTGGTCACGACAGGAATAAGCACACACACACCCACTCACAAACACAAACACTGGCCAGGCGGTGAGTTGAAAGAGGCTCAGCATTAATGAGTCAGTAACTGGTGGACGTGTCCAAACTGTATGAAGACGAATAACAAAATGATCACCGACGAAAAACACTGGCTGTAGAAAATTCAAATACATCTTTATTCTGTAGATTCAGTCAAAGGAAATGCTGTGCAATGTATTGTTTTAGCAAGGCAGACACGTCTTCTAAATTGTGTTAACTCTCTGGCTGCTCACATTAAATTTCAAAACGGAGCCTGATGTTAACTGGCAACAATTCCAATAATGTTCATTCAAACGAGACATTTGAGTCTTCAAGGAAAGAGCAGTTCTAGTGTGGATGAGAAAAATGAAAAAGATACAGAGTCACAGATGGCTGGAAGAAGCAGACAACACGATCCGTGTGTTCTGCAGAATGCTCAGCACTTCAGTTGTAGCCGCAACGTGTAACTTCTCTGCTAACAATAAAACAAATAGCGTCTATTACAGATGTTTTGACAGCATACTTGTGATAAGTGGCAAACAATTGAGGATCTTTCAGGTAATTAATGCAGCACCATGATAACCTGAAAAATGAGCGTCAAAAGACCAGCCGTTTCAGTCCTACACAATGGGAACAATAGTCTTTCACCTTTCGGTTGGTTGACCCTCTTCACATTACGAGCACAGTTTGGGCGTCAACACTCAAGACAATACGTCACGATATTGACTTTACATTGACTTCACATTGACTTCTCCTTTCTAGCCCGGAGATCAATCTGCAGATAACGGCTGCAGCTTTCCAATACAAAGGATTTAAGGAATACGCCAGGTTTCCTTACATCCTTGGCAACATGTCCCAGTTCAGATCCTGAGTAATTCCCGCCATGCACACCCACAGTGTAAAGTTCAGTAGCTCCTCTGTATCCCTATTGTCCTCTGGTCGGCTCAGCAGAGCAGCTTCTCCCAGTCGTATCCGGTTGCAGTCTCGGGTGTCTCTCGGTGCCGTGAGAGCGGGCCGGACTGGCAGGACGCAGCATTGAGGTTGTCATCTCAAGAGGACGCAGTGGGCGGTGGCACAGGAAGAGTCTCTCTGACCACCAGGACTGTTTGAGACGTGTTGGGGGCACCGAGCCGAGGACAGGGAGCGTTAGGCCTCTGCAACCAGGTGCGGATGAGAGGTCACAATGTACCTCCAGCTCGTTGTGTCCATCATCATCATCATCATCATCATCATCATCATCATCATCTCCATCAGCGATGGAGCGTGATTGAGAGAAAGAGAGCAGATACAAAGTAGAGGAAGGTCCAGCCAATGTTTAATGGAAAGAAAGTAAATGGACACGTGCACATATAAACACGATTTTTTGCAGGGAGTGCCGGCTCTGAGACATTAAGGATGTTTCATACCAGATGGCAGAGCTGGTGTTTGATTTTTAATTGCTTAACCCCGAAGTTCATTCTTGGAGAAATAGCATCACACAAATAAAAGCCACGGGTCATAAATAAGCAGAGAGTCTCTTGAGTTGCATCATGTCACATTCTTCACAGCCACAGCACATAATCTGCAACCTCTCTTCAGACACCTAAAAAATGATGATCCCTTCACAGAGTCAAAGCTCCCCTGTTCTCAACTAGTGGGTCGCGGACATGTTTTGTGATGGGGGGAAAATCAATAAAAAAAATATTCTTTGTCTATTACGTTTTGTGGAAAAATGCATTTGAAGAATTTCTTTTTATTGTCTTCTTTCATATTGATATCTGCAGTATACGTTTCAGCCAGATGAAGAAGCCTTGATGTTTGCACATTCTGATAATTGTAGCCTATTCTAAAAGGCTCACATACACACAGTTTGTTTTATTGATGTGAGGATATGAAGACATTGCCTTCCGATTCTGCCTACATGTTTTCAATAACACATGCATGAAACAAAGTTATGAAATGTCAAATGTATAACATATAATATATATATATATATAATATAAAGATAATATAAGATGATGCACAAATGTCAGTGAAAATGGTCAAGAAAGACAATTAATAGACTAATGCATTATGTCTCATTAATTGCTGGTGAGTATTATTGGCGGTCATCTCACACCCACAGATGTATTTCCCCCAGCAGACCCTGTGGCGGTCTTCAACCTCCTGACACCCGCTGCACTATCACGCACACCGCTGTGTGGCCTTTAATGGCATTTGTCTTGATTTACTGTGTGTCTATAAACAACAGCATGTGTGTGTGTGTGTGTGTGTGTGTGTGTATGTGTGTGTCTTGGCATGGCCACTCTTGGCACTTCGGGGTGTGTGTGTGGTCCTATGTATTCCGCACAGCAGCTCCAGACCTCCAGCTGACCTCTGACCCGAGCCTCTGTGGAGGAGGTGGGCCTCTGCCTATGGTAATGGCTGGTCTGGTGAGGGTGAGGCGACCGGCCAGCGAAGGGCAGGAAAAGAGCAGTCACAGCAGGAGAGGAAGCGGGAGGGACGGACCGACAGGGGAAAGAGTAAAGGCAGCAAATAAATAAATAAATGAATAAAACACCAGGAGGTGAGCGATAGATAGATAGAGAGCAGCAGCGATGTGAAGGTAAATTAAAAAGAGGCCAAACTGTGACCTCCAGACGCAGGTAATCACACTGGATTGCTTTTGTTAACTAAAAATTCCAGCAATTATTAAATTGATTGTACCGTCGTACTACCATCGCCAACAAGAAAAGTGCGTAAATTCTAATCTCTGAACACAGTTGATAGAGATTGTCTTTGTGGCTTTACTCTCTGCATCATCCCTGTGGAGGGTGAATAAATGAGACTGAGAAGGCAAAAAGACAAATTCTATTGTCTGGAATAAATGACGGTAAACTGCCTGAGAAGGCGGGTCTGGGAAGAGGTTGAGGTACTACTGGGCGGGAGGATCCTTTATGCATTCGTCCTCTAAATTGATTTCTTCCATTGTGTCCGCGGGAGGCGGATTGATATTGTTTCGCCTGCCAGGAGTCCCTCGTGGCCAATTTCCCCTCCACCACAACAACTCTCCGGCAAATTAAACTGTCATAACGGCCGTAACCACAATTAATGACTTGGATTAAGGGCAGAGATCTGCATTGCTGAACACCTTTAGGCGTGCAGGAGCCCTTAAGCACTGGCCGAGAGGCGAGAGGGAGAGCATGGAAGATGGGAATGAATGAAAGGAGAGAGGGAGGTCCAGGCAGGAACAAGTGATGGTTGAATAGAGGACAGAGGGATGAACAAAGGGATAGAAAATAAGAGGGAAGGCGATGCGCTTTTGTGGGAGAACTGGTCAGTCAACCACCGCTCTCCGTGGACATAAACGGCGGTCACAGATGCTAATAGGCCCCGTCCAACCTAAGCAGGCTGCCCGCCACATGATGAACATCGGCAGCTGAGCTTTATTGCTTTAAATGGCTCAATACCATACCGAAGCAAAATGGTCCAATCTGGGAATTAAATTAAAATTCCTCGGGAGAAAGAAAATTGCTCCCACTGAAAATGAATGACTTCCCTCCGAGCAAAAGCTAAGTGTAGAAGTGTGTGTGTGTGTGTGTGTGAGACCGAAATGAACAAAAAAGCTTGAAACTTTAGTAGTTCTGGAGATCAACGGTCTCAGTCGATAAAGTCGGCGAGGATCTTGGCGAGGATCTTGGCGAGGATCTCGGCGGCGTTCTCCACCCTCAAGACTGGTGCACCACCTTCAGCCTCACCAGAGCGTACTGCCAGTAGCCGGGAGAGAGACGGGAAACAGCAGGTAAACTAAATTACTTAAACAACGCCGCCACAAACAACTGTGTAATGATACGGAAGTGCGGAATTACTCCGCCGCGGCGAACAACAAGACTTAGATTGAATAAGAGGAAAAATATGGCCGAGAGAAGGAAAAGCGACAGCTCGGGAGGGTGGTGGGGGAGCAGCGGTGGGAGAGGGGATCACTTGAGAGGTAGAAGAATTATTTCCACTAATTACAAAATTGCGAGCAACAATAATCTTCTCACATATTCAGTCACACTTCAGAATGAGTCATGCTGCTTCAGCGGGGACTGCGAGGGAATTTTATTTTGAGCGTGATTTTGATTAACACTAACGATGTGCTCATCTCAATGCACTCGCACTAAACTTATGCAGGGATGTTTAGGAAGATGCTGTTTTTAAGCGAAAATAGCGGTCAAGAGAATACACAATAATTTCAGTGCAATTTTGCTCTCAAGCGTGAAGGCTGCGAGTGAAGTAAAGAAATATCAACATCTTGAGATAAGCTGACAACATTCAATCCTCAGTGCCGTTGATGAAAAGGCCCCGTGAACAGCTTTTTTTTTTGCCAAGATCTTCGTCTTTGTTTTCATTGAAAAGTATTGGACTTTATATAACAATATACTCAATAGTGGATAATTGGATCCTTCAGACAGAACAAACAGGAACGGATTTGTCAAAGGGGGACAAATATGATACAAACATGTATGTGCAGCTTGATAATATTATTAAAGCAATGAGCTCTTAAAAACTGTAAGACCTGAATGGCCTTGGATGACTTGACAAGAAACCTCAGGTATGAAAGCTGTGTGTCGGAACAAACAAGAGAAACTCCTCATTCTAATTGTGTTGATCTCTATATGTTCCACATCTCTAGAAGATTTTGAACCTCTGTGTATGTCTGTGTGTTCAGGGCATCAGGAGCACATGGTTGTTTTTACACAATTATGCATGCTGTCTGTATATAAGGAACCTAGTAACAGGTGCACGCGCACACACACACACACTCTGTACCTTGTCAGCTGCAGCCAGCAGGCCATCTTGTCCAGGTTGGGGGCCTCGCCTGTGTAGATGAAGCACGTCATCTCTTTGAAGACATCTGGCTCCACGTCATTTATCTCCACACGGTTCTGAACAAGGGGAGAGGACAGGAGAGGGGAGTACGCACAGGCTTTAGTGGAATAAAAGGCTGGAGCAGAAAAAGGCCGATGCATTGACAATCCTTCAATACCGGGAGTGTTTCTTTTACTATCGTTTCATGTGAAGATCGAAACCGGTACCTGGACTAAACTCCCTCACCTTGTTTAGCACACGCACAGGGACAGGCAGTCATGCAGTGATACAAAAACAACAACAGACTTCTGGACAGGAATTACATTATAGTGCATTCAATTTATCCCTTTCAGCTGGCTCCTGAAAACTTCTCTTGAACATTTCATTCGTTCATCCCTCGCTGGCCCAGTGTCGCCAACCTGCATCTTTCCGTCCTCACTGAGAGGCCGAGCAGAGCTTTACCGTCGCCACGGTGACCAGCGACGTCTTAGCAGGGTCAGACTGAGTGTACCAACCACTCAGTGCGTTTGAGTCAACTCTGACCGCTCGGCAACAACAGAAAACACACCGGCAGTAACGGCGGGGGAGTCTGAACGCGGACGGGTGGAGATTACAGTCCTTCAGTGTGCCGCAGTGGCCTAACTGTGACCCTGCAGGTACACATGCAGCACGAAACCCTCTACCCGGGACATGATGCGTATCAAATCTCCATGTGCATATTGTTTCTCAGACTCTTCAGGTTGTCTCAAAAACAACCTTTCCTGTCACAGCCGGAGCTCTCTTACTTCTGCTGTTTTCAGGCAATCAAGCGATTAACGAGGAGGTTTGACACGCAGAAGATGAAAAACTTGATTAATTTCCTTCTGCGGATTTTCTGACAGCAGAGCGTGTTGGAGCGTTAACGGAATTAAGAAGGCAAAACAGCGGCGCGTTGGAAGTCACATGAGAGACGCAGTGGGGCCTCCTTCGGTCCTTTCGGAAAGTCGAGCTTTCAACGGCAGCTCGTAAAAGAGATGGCGCTCCTGTAGTTACAGCGTCTGAAGCTCCCCCTCTATCCACAGAGCAGCCCTCTATTAGAGTGTTTCTTTATGAGCTCATTTGTCTCTTCCATATAGAGTGCTGCAGAGGAGTGTTAACCCATTTATCTGTTTTTCCTGAATTGTACGGGGACGTGGCCCACCATCTCTGCCTTTCTGATGAAGACGCCCACTTAAACAGCAATTAAGATGCATTTCCTGGCTCTAAGCTTCATAATTTCCCCATTCGAGCTTCACGGGCATCAATATTCCGCTGACGTGACGGCTAAATCACCACGGTTCAATTTCACCACACAATCAACCAGATGAACACAACCAACTGTACAACACACACACTTACAGAGAGGAAGAAATGCACAAATAGAAACACAAAAAGGAACATAAAAATGATATGTATACTGTATATATGTGTGTAAAACATGTACTACTATTCGACACATCAGCATGTATCTAACGTTTCTATAATATGAACATGTTTATGGGGACAAAAGCAAGACATTTGAAAAAGGTGTTTGTCTGATGTTAAACAAACCATATAAATACCAATTAGCTCAGTTGTGATCAGTGATGCACACCCATGATATGAAATGCTTTGCATATTTTATTTTCATCCAGCAAAAATCCACCACTGCACAAAGACAACATATCTTGTGGTTGCTTTTACTTAAATTAAAATTTCTACTTTGAAATTCTGAAATGTTTAGCTAAATATCTACGTTATTACAGTGATTTCATAATTAGGTCAAAAAAAGAATTCTGAACTTACATTGCAAAACAAATATTGAACAATATCTTGGTTCAATTTTTTAACTCTCAAATATTGATATTGGTATCAACCAGTGATATCGCAGCGAATGCATCTGAACATTTTAGCTTTGACCTTCCTCAACAAATACCCCCCGACAGGCCGCCGATATCCTCCAACTGCCACATTTGCATCCCAGAGGTCCTTGAGAGGATGAAAGCTACACACTACCCTTCAGAATCAATTCATACAATCACGCACAAATGCAAGACATGGTGGCTTCAAAGACACCAGACAATAGAGACATGGAGGGACACGTGTAGCCACAGCGAGATATTCGGAGAGACCAACGCTTCCGTAATGAAACAGAGAGGGGGACTGGAATTTAGACATTCGGCTCGATGCTGAGGGGGGAGGGAACGAGAGAGTCAAGCGCTTGACTCACCTTCTTCTCTCCTCCACCTCGTGCTCAAACACGGCACTAAAGGCCGGCGAGCGGGCTGAGACAGACAGAGACACAAAAGACAGACATGCAGACATAGAGAGAGAGAGGGATGTTTGTTACTGCGTGTAATGTTGATGCATGGCGAGGTCTCTGATATGCATTAACAGCCATCCACGGAGCCGGAGGAGAGCGATTGACAGCGGGAGAAGCATCACGTGGAAAAAGTTGACTGCAGCTCCGTCGCGCTGACAGACTCATGACGGCCTCCGAGTTGTGTTCAGCCACTTTAACGCCCTGAGACTGACTGGACTGGAGCTCGCTTGTACATTACGGTTTTGCCTTCCAGTTTCGATACGGCCGCCTGCCGCCTCTCCACATAGACTGTTCCATCGTAGCACAGAGGACCGCTGAGGGATTATTTTGCTGGAAAAAACAAATAACAAAAAGGAATGGATATGTTTCACTTGCTTTTCACCCAGCTTCTGTGCACATGCAAATCCCAAATATATGCTGTCCCTTGATGTAAGAGGACGCTGTCTACAAATCCTCTTGAGGGAAGGAAAAGTTCACACATTGCCTACATTTGCAAAAAAAGTAGAGAGTAAATGAAAAAAAAAATGCTGCCAGCGTCCCTGAAAGAAAAATTTAACCGTTGAACAAAGTGTTTGCCAAGCGAGTAGTATTTTTATAATCCAGATTTAATTTCTATGCATTTTCTTTTATCAGTTTTTTTGCAGCACTTTCTAAATGAAAATAACCAAACGCTTGAGCGGTTGATTTAAAACACATTTGTGTTGTTATCACTAAACAGGTGACTGCACGCTGTTCTGGCTCTTTTGCTACTCTGGACACGACCGCAGCAGGAGGAGTACGTTTAATCCTGCGGTCATGCTCACTGTCTGATCCGAGCGCAGCACTGCGAATTACAAGAATCAGTCTCACTTTCTGCTACATCAAAATCACCGCTGTATGATTATTCTGACAATAATCACCGCATCTCGTCTCTGTAGTTGTGCTTCAGGCAGAGTAGATTTTCTCTCTTATCATCACGGCGGTGAAAGCGGTTGGTTTCGGCGAAGGATGAGGACGAGCCTGTCAGACGCAGACGCAGTGACTTTGTGTCTCTATAAGCTTCAGGCCTTGAGCTAAAAATCACTCTTCAATCGGTTAACATATTAATTATGTGCTCATTGGGTTTACATAACTATTCACCAATGAAATTAATGCTTCATCAACTAGTGATTAAAACATAACAAATATTTCAACACATTTTAATTGTGTGTCAAAGTCAGTTAAATGCAAATTATCTTAAACTCCCAATAATGAGTTTTCAACATCAGAGCTAGCAAGCTTTTTAATCCCTTTTTCAGAAACAGGAGGTCATTAACACGCCACAAATAGGAAGAATACTAATATTATAATATAGTAAACGAATACGTTGACAATGGGACAAAGTGGTTATACGGTCAGCCTCTGCTGCTTCGGTGGCAACACTGTGACTTACAGATATGTTATGAGTCTAGATAATGCATCAGCTCAGGCCAGGATCATCTTTACTTAAATTTAAAATGTTCAATACTGTATTCAGGATAATCAATTGAGCGGTCAACAACTTTTGAAGGTCCTTATTCCTTTAATTTTATCATCTAATTATCTGCACGTGAGGACGCATGCTGCAGTAAAGGTTTACTGAAGGTTAAAGTTGTAGACACTCAAGTTGAATGGACGGTAAACTGTGTTCAACTAGTTCTCAACAAAATCAGTGAAATAGACATGAATAAATATTGAAAAAAACATACATATATATCTTCCATTTCCTCTGCCATGGTAATTTGCAGGGTTTATTCAGAGTTGAGGGAAGCTGGTCGCACAATTTAAGTTTTTTTTTTTTTTTAAGTTCTAAAAAACAGAAACTTCCCCAAAGATGAGGACTCTCTCATCAGACGTGAGATTTCAGACGATGTCGCTGACAATCCTTTTGTCACCAACTGATAAAAAAATCCTTAAAAATAAAGTTTATTAATTTATTAATTAACGTCTGCATCCTGGAGCCGTGAAACCAAACTTAGCAGGTAGGACTATGGGGACAAACCAACAGTAGGTCTGTGTGGCGCAGCTCAATGCCGGTGAGCTCATACTGCAGCAACAAAGGGAAGGGGCGGGCGAGAGAGGGTCGTAGAAAGTGAATGGAGAGAGAGGAGAGAAAAAGTAGGAGGACGAGAACGGTAGACGGGAATGGGGAGTGAAAAGAACCGAGCGAAGCTTTGAGGTGGGAGGGAAACACTGAAAGGACGGAAGACAAATAAAAGGGATGTGATCACAGAAAAGAAAGTGTGAGGCAGGAGAGAGGAGGAGGAAAATGGAGGCAGGAGAAGGACACAAGCGAGAGAATGAAAAAAGGAGACATCAAAGTGAAAGGAGTACCGTAATATTGAGAAAAGGTAAGAAGGATGTAGGAAAGTAAAGAAAGGGAGGGTAAGAAACATTGAGGGGGAACCAGAATGGAATGAAGATCACATGGCCAATGTGGTGCCAATTTGAGTTGCTCGCCCTCCTTCGTTTGATCCCTCTCTGTCCGTCTCCACGGCGATTAACGGCCGGGAGAGTTGTCACGGGAACGGCCGAGAGGAGGAATAACGAGGAGGAGGGACGTCGTCTGGACCAAGTAGAGCAGAGAAAGAGAGAAAGAGAGAGAGAGAGAGAGAGAGAGGGGAAGACCCCAAACCACAGCAGCACATAATTAAAATGGCTCCTCGCACACACATTTCAACAAATCCAATAATGAACAGCCTCTCCCTTCCTCCACAGAGACCCACGGTTCACCAGTTCCCTCAAACCACTCACTATGTGACGCTGTCTGTCATTAAGAGTCTGCAACAAGTGGCTGCATAGCGGGGCGCGGCCACTACGGACTCCAGCGAGGCCTCCACGGGTCACGTGCTTCACGGGCCAACACCCGGTACTTTGACCGGATAATGGTCCGTCTTCAAATGTAACCAACCGCACTAAAATAATTTATTCAAATTGAATTCTGATCAGGGTGTTCCGACTGAATATAAAACTCTCAAATGAAATCCAGGATGATCAAAACATCTCCTTCCCCTCATATATTTGTTTGAGTTATTTCAATTCAATACAGTCAGTTACTTGTAAGTTGCACCTGAGTTCCTTGATTGACTTCCAGATTTGTGCTTTTCATGATGTTTTTATAATCCTTATGTTTATGTTGAATTGACATTGTTGTAACATCAGTATCAGTCGGTCTGACTATCAGTTTAGGTTGTCTCTTCTTTCCTTTTTTAAACAAAATCATTGTCATGAATTCACTTTAAAAAACTAAAAGGTAACCAAAGTTAACAATGCATTGCCTCCAAGCTAACATACCTTCACCCTTGAACTGTTACATTATTGGACAATAAAGTATTTTTCTGGTGGGTTTTCAGGTTACTCTCACCTGCCAGGATGGCTTTGTGCGCCTGCAGCTTCTGTCCAGCGACACACAGCGAGCAGCCGGTGAGTCTGGAGTTTTCCCACAGATCTTCTCTCCTCCTCGGCCGGCCCGCCGCTCAGGAACCTTCACCGGGTCCGTTGGGTTCTGGCCTGAGAGGTTCACGGAGTCCTGAGAACATACACACTTATTGTCTCAGCCAGGAGGATTGTGCGCTGCTCCTCTATGAGTCCATGAGTGAGCGTGCCCTTCCGTGCTTACCCAGCGTTCTGCTGCATCATTTTTTGGGATGCTGCACGTCCATGTTGGCATTAACTCCCGCTTTCTAAAAACACCTTTTATTGCCTGCATCGTACTGTCAATAGCTGCCTGCGGACTCCTCACTAACTATTACTATGTAACTATGTAGATGTAACCGGCAAGTGATGAAATTGATGAAACAGCTAAATGGATCGCCAACCCCCCCACTCAATACCAAGAGTGAACGACACACACGCTGATGAACCACATCACGACTCAGCGTGCTACGTGGCCAGACAGCTTGTCGAGTTTAATTTAAATGATCAGTTTGCGCAGATTTTGGGTTGACTCACCACTTACTACAATAAATAGTTCATGCAGAGGCAAATAAAAGCATACAATGTGCATAAAAAGAAAATAGATCAGGTAATCAAACATGCTGTGAATGATTAATGTGGCTTCCCAGCCTCCGTAATCAATACATCAGACACTCAATACGGAGGCTATTCAGAGACGACCTATTCTTCCTGCTTTATCCAATCGTATCGGCTACGCTCTCAAACAAGCCAGAAAATCGGCATTGTAGTCAAATTGGGCGTGTGAGATTGTGTGTGTGTGTGTGTGTGTGAGAGTGAGTGCATGAGAGTTGTCTCCCCTGCTGACTTCACCACCTGTTCCAGACAATGTCAACCAGACTCATCTATCTCTCAACAGGACTTGCTGCAAACGCACATGGCTCAGGAGAAGAAACACACCTTCTCTCTTACACACACACACACACACACACACACAGGGGGGCTCAGGAGGACAAACGCACATTCTCACACGGGCACGCAAATCACAAGGTCTTTTAATTTAAGCTTTGGTGACCTTGGGAACGATCCAAATGTTAGCGCTAAACAGAGAAGGAGATCCATTGCTGAGTCCGACAGCCGGTAGAAATAAAACGCAGTAAGTAACTTACTGAGTATTTGACATATTGAGACTGAAGAAAATGATTCCTCTTCATGTTGAGATTAAGTTTGAATATCTGAAGGCCAAATCCAAATCCTCTAGAATTTTTGTCTGTGGGTACAATTTTCTTTCTTATTAAACAACAGTCCTCCTCTGTAGCTGAATAATTAGGTTTGTCCAGCGACATTTGACTGTTGCCACAAATTATTTGTCAAAACTGTCATAAAGCCTATAGTAGAATATATATAGACGTGTTGCTTTACATCCGTTATATATTTTCTCTCTTGACCATTTCAAACATTATTCCATACCAACAGTGTACTGAATTCTAATAATTTGCGTTTAATTAGTGTGAATGTAAACATGGCACATTCAAACTAAAACCTTTTTAAACAAACTTCACAAATATTTGAATTGTTTTCCATCAATTCAAAGTATTTTTTTCATGTTCAACCCGCACAAACAGAAACATAATGAGGGAATTTAACACTATACAATTATGAAACGGTCTATTTGGTTGTCTATTAATTCTACATACACAATACACCACCATCACTGATGAAAATAAAACTCCAAATAATAAGAAAAAATATTTAGGGTGATTTTTGTTCTCTGTTTTCATTGCTGACGGCTTTTGAGCACATTCGGTAAACTGTTCACGAAAATCCCAACAAAGTGACCTTAGTACTAAAGCTTCAGGGAGACTGTCGCCTTAAACCCCACAAAATACATCCCACCTCATCCACCCCCATCCACCCGAATGCCCACCAATTCCCCCCAACAGCACATCCATCCACCTATTCAACCCGCACAAAAAGAGTCCTAGAAAAGGAGGAGAAGCGCATACAATAGACAAGTGCGTGGCAAGCAGGAAATTGAATGTCAAGGAGCCTTGTTTGCTCCTGATGGAGGTTTCAGAGTTAGCCTGAAGGGGACAGAAAGACAGAGAGAGAGAGACAGACAGACAGACAGAAACGATAATAAAACAGAAAAAGAGAGGTATGAAAAGGGAGGAGAGAGTGAGGGTGGAGGAAGATGTAAGGGTAATAAAATGCATAGAGAATACAGATACAAAGGAGAGAAGAGGGGGGGGGGGGCTATGTGAGGAATCTACAGTTACAGACGCCCTCTTATAACCAGCAGCTCATTTCTTGCTTGGAAATGACAGGGACACGGTGAGAAGAAAATGGGACTTTTCTGAAGACTGGAGCATTCACTATATGTGAGTGTGTGTGTGTGTGTGTGTGTGTGTGAGTCTGGTTTTGACACAGCTGGCTCTATTAATCCCACTCCAGGGGGATGCAGGTCGGACTGACGTACACGCATCTCCTGAACACGCTCACACAGAGGAATGCTCACACACACACACACACACATGCACTCCCACCAGGACTGTCTCACACACTGGGTTCCATAAAGCACTGATTAGCAACTCAGAGGGACCCTACCGGGTCCTCTGAACACTGTGGACAGAGACAGACAGACGGGGAAAAAAAGAGAATTAGGGTCTTAGGCTAAGACAGCGCAAGAAGGAAGCAAAAATATCTTCCTGGAGAGAACGAGGTGGTCGTGGTGGTGGAGGAGGAGGAGGAGGAGGGCGGCACCGTGTCCCGAGCACACATGAAAAAAGATGAACTGAGTGCTGAAAAGCGAATTGGAAGGGAGGGCATGCAGCCTGGTCGATGGGTTTCAGTATAAATAGCCCAATTAGCGCGGCAGGGCAGACGCAGGGCTCTCGGATGCAGCGCGGCAGAGCTGGTCTAATTACTGGCTAACTTGACCAATTAGTCCACTGTTTAACTAGGTGGAAACTAAATGGCAGCACCTGGTTATTTAGACACGCTCGCTGCCCTGACAGTCTTCACGCTAGCGGCTGTCATCTTCTGTCATTATCAAGCCCGTCCTCTTTATCCTTCAGACACCCACAAACTAAAAGCAGAGACGTAGCCGGTTTAACTACATTTGCAATTGCGAAATAAACAAATACCCCACATCTATAATAATAGATCAATTTAGGAATTGTCACAGATTAGACCTCTTAACTCAAAGATGCTGTTGTTTCTTATACAGCCTAATTAGGACTATAAATGCATTACGTTGCACAACCCAGTGTTGAACAATGACTTAACCATGTTCATTAAATGAAAGCCATCACAAGGTAATAGTAGGGTAATCATTGTAGTCATTAGATATCTGTAATATCAGAAAAGAACGTTTTGGCTTGATGGTGGTACGATGTCAAATGTAAAAAGGGGTTACCAAAAACATTTGGGTTCCCTCCAAATGTCAAACATTTTTAGGATTGGTTAGGGTCAGTATTGTGTGTGTAGAGGGGAAAATCTGATGATTTGAAGGCCCACCAAAATCTTAGGCTGTGGTTCCTTATGGTCTTCGATGTGATTTTTCTCATTCAATCAATAAATGTCAAATCTGTACGCCTTGGGATCAGATCTTGCTCACATTGGGATTCGATCCGTCAGACCACGGAAATAAGCACATTTTTCATGAAATAAAAACATATGAACTTTGGAAAGTTTTCGATTCATCTTTGTTCAAGACATTTGGACTGAGACGATACAGAGCCATGAACTGAGAGAGAGAGAGAGAGAGAGAGACTATCGCGCGCAATGTTTTCTGCAAGTTGTTAATAATAATAATTTGAATGTCAACGTTAGGAATGAAGCTTCAAATTATTCGGTAGCCTGCAGCCCTAATTATGTTATTACCAGCACGCCGGCATATAAGCTCGCTATCTTTGCTTGAGAAATCCACGCAGCCCCGGAAGTAAATTAAAATGACCATTAGGTATGTATCACATAGAAATAAACACATACGAATACGCTACATACGCTAGAAATGAATCAGTCCATCCGTGAATGAGGAAAGCTGACGTTCAGAATGCACACTTGTTAAGCTTTATAGGTGTGTAACTTTTCATGTAGAACATCATAGCACCCGTTGTATGAAGGGTCTAATGTGTAGATAGCGTGTGTGTTTACATGCAGTGAAACCCACTTATGAAGCGATGATTGTGTGATTTGGTAGAATGTATTGAACTGTGATATTTGTGTGTGAAAGGTTTGAATGCCAAAGGTTTGTTTGCGTTTGTGGGAAAAGGCTGTTAGTCCCAGTTTAGTGTCCAACTGGCCGACCAGCCAGCTTTTATTTATTCCCCAGCTGTGTTAATCATGCCGACGATGATGATGATGATGATGACAGAAATACAATCTGTGTAAAAACTGTGGGTAAAAAATTACAGTAATGAAGAATCATTGCCGCCATATCACCACAATCATTTGTTTGGGTAATTATGTTCCCGGGATAAGTACTTGCTAAAGCGTTCGCCTTCCAGTTAGTTCCTCAGACATCAAGATGGATCTGTCTTAAGCTCCCTCTTAACCCTCCAGGCAACGCAGAGTTAAAATTGAGTTTCTGTCCCCAGATGATTTATTCATAGAGCATCAATCTTTTTCTGCCTGTTTATGTGTTTGTTTATGGATTTACAGTGTTTAGCCAAGCGTGAAATAGTTTGGAACAAAAAAAAGTCAAATAAAGTGAAATTCATTAACTTAGGGAACACTTGTTGTTTCCCTCGTATTAGAGTCATACTGCTGCTGACTTTATGGGCAACTATATGGCACTCAGTGTGAATCTCCAGTAGCTCCATGCAATTGTCAAGATTAACCAGGCCCACGTGTCAGTTTCCTCCAAAGCTCCTTTCCACTCATTTCCATGACTGCCAACACATGGCGTTCAATTTTAGACACATTTAAAGACTATTGCGGCATCAAATCAGAGAGGGTGCAATTAGATTGCTATACGGGTTTCAAAAACTGTTATTCACCATATAAAGTATATTCGATATAACTAACATTGAAATAAGTGCCTGTTTGACTGGGACACAGTGTCTAATGATGTTTCTAGAATACATGTAGAAGTTATGTGTTTTTTGACAGATGACCAATCTTTCTGCAGAA